ACGCCGACCTGCAGGGGGATGTTGCACGCCTTGACGCGCGCCTCCGCCTCCTCCGCCGACATGCCGAGCCCGCCGTCTTCGGTGGGGCGGAGGCAGATCTCGCGCATGCCGTCGCGGACCGTGCGTCTCATGTCAGGCGTGCCGCCGGTGAAGAGGTCGCACATGTCGGCGCTGCGATGCTTCATGAGCACGCGGTTGGCGAGGCGGCGGATCGCGGCGGGAATGCCGATGGGACGGGTGCCGGTGAGGTTGCCGTCGTCGTCTCTCTTCTCGATGCCGAGGAGGTTGAGGTCGCCCCAAATCTTTGTGGCCGACTCGTGCACCTCGCCGCGGTTGATGGAGGCGACGATGTCGAAGAGCACTTCCCTCGTGTCCGCCCCGCCGTAGTACAGGAACTCTAACTCCTCATAGCTCACGCCGTCGACGGACATGGCCCGCGCCTTGGGCACCGAGTGGAACACCTCCCAGAATGCGTCCCGGTACTCCTTGCTGGAGGTCGAGTAGCGTGTGACGGCGCCGCCGGCGCCCTGGGCAGGCCGCATGTCGTCATCCGAGACCGCGGTGGACTGCGGGTGGAGGTCGCGAAGCGTGTCTCGAACCAGCGCCTGGTCCGCTGTCAGGCCGCCGCCGGGCTGCGTGTCATCGTACACGCCCGTCTCGGCGACGGGGTTGGTCGAGAAGCGGGCGCAGGCCTTGGAGAGGTAGCCTGCTCCGGCGAGGCCGAGGACGGTGGCGAGGAGACGCTCGTCGCGGCTCGACTCGCTCGCCCCCTCTCCCTCTTCCTCGCCCGCCTCCGCCTCTGCCTCCTCCCCCCCCCCGGACGGAGCGTGCGCTCCCCGCCTCATGGCTGCAGTAATGATCACGTAATGAAGAACTCACGACACACTGCTCTCCCAGCGTGGAGGAGCTCACTCCCGATCGCGAGAGGACCGGGAAGGGAATACACTCGCACGCCCCCCCTCCCCCCCTTCCCCACATACCGCAGCGCATCGCACACCGCTCACTCCCGATCTCGAGGACCAGCAGGAAAAGAAAGTACACGAGCACCGCCACCCCAACCCTTGCCCATGCTACAGCGCATCGCAAAGCTACGTCGCTCACTCCCGATCTGCGAGGGACCAGGAAGGGAATATACAGCTGCCTCGGCAAATGCTACCCTGTCTCCTCGGAGGCGGAGAAGGCCTCTTGTCGCTTGAGTTGTTGTTCATCTTCAGATGCCGTGCTTGATGTCCGTGAAGGAGGTCGCCGCCTTGCCGCCCTTCTTGCCGACCTGAAGGCGGCGCCTGATGCCGAACTGCAGGGCGGACGCGCCTACGGCGCAGTGTCGTGACACGTCGCGGGCCTCTGGGAGAGGCGCCTGGCCGGCAGCGCACTCGCGAGGCGCCGAGAGGGTCGGGCATCACACAGTAGTAGATGCCAGACGAGCCGTCTCCGTGGTTTACGCATGTGCCATTTGCGACCATGCTGTACCTCTCACCGGTCGTGCTGCAGTTGTCGCTGCCACCGAAGAACGTGGTTTCGAGCATGGGCACCGGCCCCGAGAAATTGCACCAGTCAAAGTTCGTGCTCCAGTCGTCCGCTGCGTAGCACGGGGGGGGCGCGGCGCACGGCGGCCCGAGCAGCGTGATCGTGATGTCTCCGGTAGGGGCGGCCCAGGCGTAGCAGCCGGCCGACGTGTAGCAGTACCGTGGGTGGAAGAAGACGTCGTTGCCTTCCGCGCTGGGCGAGAAGGAGCTGCAGTCGGCGTCCGCGGCCGACGTGATGGGCTCCCGGTCCTCGAGCAGCGTGGGGGGGGCCACCGGGGAACTCTCCCAGCAGCCGGCCGGGTCATAGCAGAAGGGCCCAGGGACGTAGTACGCGCCATCCTGCTCGTAGCAGCTGCAGGTCCATCCACGGGCGGGCCATCCGGGAGGCACGCCTTGGTGCGTCGCATGCGTCAGCGCCCTCGTTCTCGCTTGTCGCGACCCCGGGCCGTTCCA